AAACATCAGTTTTGGGGATCACGAATAACAACAACAAAAGATCGAAATTTATTTAAAACGATACTTGACAACAACCTTGATGCATTAAGTGCTGGCTCACCAACTTACTGGCCTACTGATCCTGCAAAAATACCTGATATTTTAAATATCAACGCAGGCACAATAACCAAAAATATTAACTCACTCCCCCACAACATTAAAACAGACTGGGAATCATACAGAAAGAAAATCACAGCTGAGATTAATTTAAACCAACCACTCCAATTACCAAGCGACATCGATGACGCAATAGAACACCTAAATCAGCTGCTTCTCCACTCAGCCTGGAACTTTACTCCAAAACTTGATACACAACAAATAAGTTACCCAAGAGCTCTAAAGGATAAAATCCAAGAAAAAAGAAGACTGAGGAGAGTCTGGCACCAAAGCAGGGATCAAGATAATAAAACAAAACTAAATAGAATAACCGCTGAGCTCAAAAGAGACCTAAGAACATACAGGAACGAACTTTTTTAAAGACAAATCAGTAGCTTAACCCGTTACAATGACACTGATTATTCTTTGTGGAAAGCAAAAAAATACATCAAACGCCCACAATTACCTAATAATCCAATCAGAAAGCCCGACAACAGCTGGGCCAGAAGCGACGAAGAAAAAGCCAAGACATTCGCCACCCACCTGGAACAAGTATTTACTCCATTATTACCAAGCTTAATAGATGATGATACTGAGAGAGAAATTCACCAATCCCTCGAACGTCCACTACCGATTAATCTGCCAATAGACCACTTTTTACCATCTGAAGTATATAAAACAATCAAAAGCGAACTAAACTCCAAAAAATCACCAGGCTATGGTCTAATTACTCCAAAAATGCTCAAGGAATTACCAAAGAAAGTTATAGTCTTTATCACTAACTTATTTAACGCAATAATTAGAATACCACACTATCCAAGTCAATGGAAATATGCAAAAATTATGGTCATCCCTAAATCAGGAAAACCTCCTGCAGAAGTTTCATCATATAGACCAATCAGCCTCTTGCCAGTCATTTCCAAACTATTTGAAAAACTTTTATTAAAAAGAATAAACTACGAAATAAACGAAAACCAGCTCATTCCTAGTCACCAATTTGGATTTCGACATAGCCATTCAACAATTGAACAAATACACAGGGTGGTCAAGTTCATCACCAACTCCCTTGAAACAAAAAAATACTGTACCACAGTTTTTCTCGACATCGAGCAGGCATTCGATAAGGTTTGGCATACTGGGCTTCTGTTCAAAATAAAAAACTTATTACCTAAATATTTTCTGTTGATAAAATCATACCTAACCAGTAAATTTTTTCAAGTGCAGAGCGGACAACATATCTCAAACTTCCACACAATTCGATCAGGAGTACCTCAAGGTATCGTCCTGGGACCTACTCTCTACGCCATCTTCACAGCTGACATCCCCACGCCTAATCAAATCATGGTGGCAACATTTGCTGATGATACAGCACTAATGGTTACACATGACAATCCAACAGAGGCATCAAAACAACTACAAACAGGTATCAATGAAATAGAACGCTGGTTAAAAACATGGAGAATAAAAGCTAACGCATCAAAATCTAAACACATCTAAACTCTACAATCAACCACTACCTACAGTATCAGCAATTAAATACTTAGGATTACACCTCGACACAAGACTCAACTGGAATGAACATCTTTCAACAAAACGCAGAGAACTGGACCTCAGGTTCAAAAAATTGCACTGGCTGATTGGTAGACACTCCAAACTATCACTAGAAAACAAAATACTAATTTATAAAGTCATCATCAAACCAATATGGACCTATGGTATCCAGCTATGGGGCTCTGCATGTGCCAGCTCAATAAATATAATACAAAGATTCCAGTCTAAAGCACTTAGAGTGTTAGTGAATGCTCCCTGGTTTGTTAGCAACGACACCATACACAATGACCTTGGTATGAGCACAGTGAAAGAAGAAATTCGTCTATTTAGTTCCAGATATGTTGCCAGACTAAACAATCACCCAAATTAACTGGTACCAGCAATCCTCAACAGGAGCGACGAAACCAACAGACTCAAAAAAAAATATAAGCCATTAGATTTACCCAACAGATTCATAGAGTGGAAACCTAAAGGTTTTCAACGAGCTCTAACCTTCAACTGAACACGTCAAAAATAATAGACAGCAAAATTACTTATTGTTTAAACAAACAGATTGTAATTAATTCCTATAATAATAAAAAAAAAAAACTTCTAAATTTCGAAACGTGCTCTTGTCATTTTTGCACTTACATTTAGTGAAAAAATTCTCTCCGTGTACCTTTCATTTTCGCCTCGACTCTTTAAATTTTTACGAGCGTATAATTTTGCCCCGGAAAAAGTTTGTTCTTACAAGTAGTATTCAATCTCATCTAGATATCAAATGGTCGTCATATCATTTTCGTTGAGAAAAAAATTTCAGAAAAATTATAATACAGCATCTGTAAAGTGTAAAATGAACAATATGTGAATGAAACATAATTTTTGTACACTGATAAGCAGCACCAGTTGAACTATGGTACTTTTTAAGATAAATAATAGAAAGTGTGAATTGAATAGAATTGGTCATCATGCATGGTTTTTTTTTATCTTAGACAGTAATGACACTTAATTAAAACCAAATTGTTCTATACATTTGGCATACATGTAAACAATTTAATATCTCAAGAAGCATTAGTCGTGGAGAGTTGAAACTATGATCTCATTTTCGTTTTTTATGAAAAGCTCTAAAAATTATACGTATCATGTCTCGATCTTCGTTACGGTGTTTTCAAGATATTTGATCAGATAAAATCGATTTTTTATAAACAAATAAGTAAAAAATGACACGTGGTCACAAATTCATATTGACGTTTACCATCCATTGACGAAATGGACTAAAACTGCTGTTTGAAAAATAGACTGAAACGAATATTGCTATCAAGCACAATTGTTCCGTTGTATGCAAACTATTTTTTCAATATACAGTTATTTATTTATTTATTTAGTAACATACAAGGCCCAACAACATAAGCCAATTACTAGGTCATTACATTATACAGAGTATAACATCCAGAATTTTATAGTTTTGCCTTTCCATAAGGTACTGTTTGATTCTATTTGCCCAGAAAAATTATTTTACTTTACAATAAAGTAAAGTTAACTCGTGAACAAGTTATTTTGTTTAGAAACTAAGACAAAAATAACATAATATTTTTATTTCAAGTAAAGTAAAAATTTTTATACTATTCCGGAGCTGAAAGAATTATTTACTTTATTTATAGAAAAATGTATGCTTTCTAAAGTACAGAATATTTTATTGTTTCACCCCGAGTTGAAAACTAAAAGCTGATTTCGACTTTAAAAAAAGGTCAAAAACAGATCAAAATTGAAAATTTTCTTGACCTGATTTGGAGCTACTTACGCAATAATTGATCCAAAATCAATTCTTGTTTCCCAAGTCCATTAGTTACATTGTTTTTTAGAAATACAACCAATGTAAAAATAATTTAAATTAAATTTAGTTTTCAATGTTTAAACACTCCCGAAATAAAAAATAAACCCCTCATAAACCCGATTGAAGCCCAATCTTGACTTAGAGACATTTTCAGCACCCAAAACAAGCCCATTACAGACCTAAATTTTGAAGGAGCTCAACCATTTTTGCGGGCTACAACGCGCCTAATTTCAATAAAAATAATTCTTGTTAACAAAAGTATTTTCTTCTAATTTCATAGATTCTATTGCTTTTTATAGTATTTAGTTGATTAAAAAAATCTTGTTTTAGCAAATTTCTTTTTAAATTATAACTTAGAATTAAGATTAGAATGGAAACTATAATATGTTATATATTTATGCGTTAGATATTTCTATTTAACGCATCAATATAGAATTTTTAATTATTTATAAAATAATTTGTAATTATTCAGAAAATTCTCGATTTTTAGACGGAAATTTTCATCACACAATTCATTAATTTATATTGATAATACTTCCATGTTCTTATTTGACATTGGGTAACCAATAATTATATTACTGGAAACTATTATGAATGTAACCAATGTAAACTCAAGATTCACACATAAAATATTTAATAAACCTTCTCGTACATTAGCAACATTGGTTCATATTTTTTTAATGTAAGTTAAATAAGTCTATTTTTTTTGGTGTTAGTTCATTTATATTTGGTTATAATAAAATTAAAAACTTAATTTGATGTCTTTCGATTAAAAATATCACACCATATAACCGTAATTTAGATAATAAAATGTAACAGATATAAATCTTACAATACTATCAATGTTGCTTAAATACAATGAATGCATCCTATGATATAATCCTAATGCATGCATAAAAAAATGTATTAATGCATTTTTAAATCTATAATTTTACTTATGATTCGATGACAGTTTGTATACACTTCGCATGAACGTATTTTAACAAATAGTTATTTGTGAAAATTACTTCAAAATTTGTTCGAAGTTTTTGTTAATTTTGATTTCAAACAAATGAACGATTCCTTCAGAAGTTATATTCGTAGTTACTGAAGCATTATCTGCTTTAAAAATTATTTCATTTTTCCTACTATCATGACACGATCAAGTATAATTGATTAAGCAATAAAGTTGTTAAAAAAATGAAGACTGACGAATTATTTACACCAACTGAATCAAAATCACCAAGAAATTGAGCTTTTTGTGTCACTTTTTTATCTCTTTTTCACATAATATTCCATTTCTTATAGATTCGTTGGATACTACATTTGCTTTTTTTGGAAGTTAATCTAATTGGCGATTAGTTTTGACGCATGTGTACTTGCGACTCTGACATCACTCGTCCTCGACTTACGTAAAGATATAGAGACATTATATCGGTACTCTCATTGCGCCCGCGCACAATCTTATTTTACGTTATGTTTATTTCAAGGCGTATTTTCTGCGAAAACGTCATCGATCAACTGGATCCAGCATAAACCAGTCGATACCTATGAGTTTGATCTTAAGTAACGTTTACTAGCTTTGAGCGTAACTTTTTTCAAATAAAAGTACTCAAGATTTTTCAAAAATTATTCGCTAAATTCTTTTTATAATCATAAATATCCGTAAGATCTCAATCAATAATCATTAAATGTATTTGTCAACGATATTAGTTAGAACGATGCTCCTAAAAAATTCAATTAGTTACGCGAAACCTCATATGATTTCTCCTCTTCGAACAATTTTTCGGTGAGTTTTTGAAAATTTTTAATCGATAAACGGTTGAATAACAGACATAAATAGCGTATTAAAAATCATGATAATAAAATAAAATGTATGGTCATGAGCGCTTACAAGTCTTCGAAATGGTTATTTTAGGCAGTGAGATTGTTGGACAGGACGAGTAGAATGAACGTCGAGGACATTCTGCATCACAGGAGAATATTTGTATACATGCAGTGAACTTGTTATTCTATTCTTTCTTGTTCAACTGTGGTATATGCTCTTGACAAATCAAATGACTGTTTATCTCATAATGCATAACCTCTCTGAGTTTAACCTTCGATGCTTCCGGCTCGCCTTTATGCTCAATTATAGATGCATGTATTGAAAAAGAAACCAACATTTTAATGTTATGGATACATCTGTAATATATTTATAAACAGGTATTTGTCCTTTTGTTACCCAAAAGGTAACAAAAGGTTTCATGTGGGTAATTTTTTTTTTTTTTTGAGTTTAAAGTGTTGATAACATTTTTAATCCTCCTTTTCAAACTTATTTGATGCAGTAATTGTAGCTGCCAATTGGCTATTTTATAAATGTGATAATTTAACATTTTTTTGTGAGTTTGCAAATGTCTACAAAATGTCTTCTAAAATCACCCTAAGTGTTTATCTATAATCTTTGTCGTAGTAATTTTAAATCATTCTCTGGAATTATTTTAAGAGAAAGAGTATTATTCAAAGAGTACTGAAACATCATACATTTTTTAGTTTGAATATTAATAAAGTTTGAACAATTAGACTATTGACGAGTGGTTTTAACTTATTGTTACTTTATAAATGAATCAAGTTGTTATTTTTAAAAAATTCATAGACCGAAACTAATTTGGTATTTTTTTCATTTAATTATTAATTAAAACAAATATGTGATTACATTACGCTCTGTGATTCTTCTCGATATTTTGTGAATTATCTTGAGAAATAAACAAAAAACGATGCAGAGAACAAAAGGTAATCAAGAAAAGACATGCATGCCAGATGTTATATGAGTAGCATTATATCACCGAAGTAGCAGAGAGAGTATTGATGACGTCAAACATAACCAACATCTGTGATTGTCTAGTTTTTAGTAAAGGAGGACAATAATATCAATTTGATACCAAATTTATGTTATTAAAATCATACAAGAGTCACATAAAATTCAAATAAAGAATTTTTTTATGTATGATTTCTATCCCTTTTATATATGATTCTTATAAGATTCAGTATTTATTGTTTTACTCAGGTTACCATCAATTTATTTTCTTTTCAATTATAATGTTATTATAATCATTCATAAAAATAAAAATAAACTCAAGTATCTATCAATCGGAAGTTTATGTAGAGGAAATTAAATTTATGTTTCTAACATGGATAAAATTATTAAAAATACTAATGAAATAATCGTTTTTAAATGTAAGATTTAAATTTATAAAAAAGAATACTTAAAAACATAAGAAAAAAATTTTAATTTTTACAACATAAAATATATTTTTAGTATTTAAGCAATCTACTATACTAAAGTGCATGACACGGAGAGAAATTAGCTGCTTTAGTTCGATATGTTGAATTTGACGTCGTTCGTGTCATTTTTATTATAAATTTGATTGGCTCTCTGAACGCGCACAAAATTTACTAAGTAGAGACAATTTTAGATAGTTTTAGTATAATAAAAAATAGAATAAAAATGACTTTTTTTCCTTTTATTTATATTTCTACTTACTATAGTCATTAATAATTATTAATTAATAATAAAAATAAGTACTAAATATCTATACATCTCTTAAGAAAATTTTTTTTTATAACAAATTATTTTTTATTTCTTTATTTTTATTCCAATATTGAAAAAATTCAAATTTTTATTGAAAAAGCGCGCCCTATATTTACTATTGTTGCTAAAAAGTTCAACCGAACTTGGTTTAAAATTAGGAAAGCTTGGTTTTAAATACGTAATTCAACTATGGTTTTATCATTTAGCGTTAAATGGAGCTTATCTTGGCAGTGGAAATTACATTTTTCTACTTTTAAACACAAAATTTGAGAACGACTTTAATGTATTTCGTTAAAACTGAATTGTGTTTAATCAAGCACATAATTATTACAAAATCAATTAATTAATAAACCATAATTCTGACTGTCGTCTTTATGTCAATATTGAACCAAGTATTATTCTCGACTATCAAAAAATTATTCTAAAAGTTGTTCCTTGGATCATAAGGATTATTTTTTATTAATAAATATTTTTTCTCTGAAACAAATAATCCAGAAGTTATCAGGAAATGAACCAGGAAATTATTTATCTCAATTCATTTTGCTGGAATGTTCAAATCTTGATCATTTTCATTTAACATCCTGTTTCCAATGTTATTATTATTTTTTTTTTCTTTTCAATTATATGACAACAATTTCTGAAATAATTGCTTGTGAACATTAGGATGTTGAAGGCGAACATTGAAATAATTCTACCAATGTTAACAAGTATGATTTGAAACACTAAAAATTCCAAGAGTAAATTCTCTCTGTGTATAGTTTAGAATTCTTATTATGGCATGCTAAAATTTTTGATAAATACATCACTGTACTCATTTATCACTTTATTTTATTCATTCTTAAACAAGTATTGAACGAAAATTAAAAAACCCCCTTTCACTCTCATAAAATATTTATAAAAAGTAATATCATTAATACTGTTGATGATTGATAAGTTATTCAGGCTTCACATTATTTCCTGAATCTGTCTTTCCATTTCTTTTTCACAATATCCCGACCTTCGACACATAGTTTTTGAATCATTTAAAATAGATGTTGAATAATTTGTGAATCGTTTATACAACCAAGGACGTATGAGGCAAGCTTAATAACTGCTTCTATTGAAAAAATCGAATACTGACTCTCAACCTGAGTATATTGTAATGTCTGAATGTATTTTAATTATTTCACATAATTATTTAAAAAGACCATACGAAGGGACTTGTGCGCGCCTGAACCAAGGGACTTCTAATTATGTCACATTCGACTAAATAAATACGTAAGGTTTGATGCATCAGTCAGTTGTCAAAAAAGTTAGATCGAGATCAGATCGTCGTGGAACATCTCTTGAAATCGTAAGTCTTGTTTTGTCTTGAACATTGTATTGATAATATTTCAAAATTTGTAAATTTTTGTATGAAGTTTATTTGATCATCAAACTATTTTTAAATTGATATTTAAATTAATTCGCGAGTAAAAGTGAATAATTGCGCTGACTGGAGCATCGACTAAGGACCAATTAATTGTAATTCATCTCGACCAGAGTAAAAGAAATCATCTGTTGGCAACGTTTAAATTGTAGCTATAATTTTTCAATAATTTTCATTCAATAAAATTTCATCCCTGTCTATTGGTCGAAAGGCTAAGACTAAAAAGAGGAACTTAAAGTCTCTAAGGTTAAGCATATGGTTTACATATTGACACCTTTAAAGAGCAAAATTACATAACAATATTGATCACTAAAATAAATAAAAACTTCAATAAAGTTTAAAGACATTTCATTTGCATTGATTTAACTTATTTACTTATATTCGATGCCTTCGATCCGTAACACTTTGCTAATTGATCATACTGCAACCACTTGAGTCCGTGAGTGAGCCAATTTCCTCTTAAAGATTTTAATTAAATTTCATTTAGTTTTTAATACAAAAAATGTACAATTATTATTAATTTCTAATCAGCAGTTTACTTGATTTCGAAATTTCAAATTCCACACTAAGAAAAAAAATTTCGTTAAATGAAAAAATTTTTTGTTTAATCAATAACAAAAACTTGGAGTATTCTCAAGATACTATTTTATTCGATACAATAATATTGTTATCAAAAACACATTTTGTCATTTGTTTCATTGTTACAAAAAGTTTGAAAAAAATGACATTTTATTTATTAGATTGAAAAAAATAAAATGATTTTAATAAAATATTCATAATTTCGAAGAAATATTTCATTGCGACTATTCGAAATTTCGATGTTAATCATCGAATGAAATATTGTATGAAGTAAATTTGTTTCTCGGTGTATTGAATAAAATTGATGTTAAGGGATGGACTTAATAATAAATTAACTACAATTTTTTTTAATAAAGAAACTCTTTATATATTTCTGGTTTGTAGCGATAACCAAAATATTATCAGATTCAGAGAGTGTACTTTATTGGAAATCATAGATTTAATGATCTGTGAAACTTGAAGATAGAGAAAATCCTATTTTTCATTTAATATAAGCATATGTGTCACTTTTTCGAGAAAAAAAAGCATTTATATATACTTGTATCGAAGTTTTATCGGAATTTTAATGTCAAAAGTACCTTCATCCATAACCTTCCATTCAAGAATTGATATTGATTTTTTAATTTAAAAAAATGATTCTTAAATTCGAGTTAACCCTGTGATACTTTTGAAATTATGAAAACCATATAGATGAATAAGTAAAAATTATTAGAGTCAATTTTGTCCAGTAAGTCTAATGGCATTTTTCCAATGTTAAATGGTACTGGAGTTTAGATGAAGAATCGACATAATAAATTATACTAGACCACGCATGTCAAAAACAATTTGATCACATGTATAATAATAGCTTCAACATACTCTGATGATAAAAAATATTAACTTTTTTAATGCCTTGTTAAAATTAAAAATTATTAAAAAATATATACATACATTTAATATCTATAGTATACTGTAGTTAATATGACATAGAGATGAATTTTATTACGGCTTTGCTGAAAGATTATTTACAACAAAACTCAAAAGTACAAGAATTCTACTCAACTGCTGAGTCAATTTTACCCTCACATTTTGCATAATTTTTCAAGGATAATTGTCTCTGTGTAGCTTGAAAACAGAAAAAAATTTATGTTTCAGTGAAAATACAAGAAATAGAAAATGGGTTACCAAAAAAACTAATAATAAGTGAAATATGACAACCTGAGTAAAATCTTATTTTTCAGTTTTCAGATTAAAACTATAACATTGAATGTCATCATAAAAAGCAGCTCGATCAATTTAGTAGAAAATAATAATTGAACAACATTAAAAGGTACCGCTTATTGTTCTTGTCAACTATTGGCTTTTTTAAAAATTAAATAAATATAAACACTATGCTCACAATATGAGTAAGCTGATATTATTGTCAATGAGAAAATTACAACTATCTATTATTGAGTCTATTCACCGTGTGAGTGTCCTACGAAGCACTTGAGACTTCTCTGCCTTGACCGAGTTGTGAATAATCCGTATCGAATCTCTCCCATCTTGACTTTGACCCTATTATAGTGTACTATAACCGCTATGATGAGATTACATTTTTGTGTCTTTTAAATTACTTTTTAATATTTTTTTACTATCTTGATTCAATTATAACATACTTACTGAACGCAATTAATCCACACAACATAGTGCTCAGAAACAAAGACACTTGTATTCATGTTTTTT